TCCAGTCCTGGACTTTTATTTGTAGGGAGGTTTTTTTATTGCTAATTTGATTTCATTTCTAGTGATCAGTTTGTTCAAGTGGTCAGTATCTTCTTGGTTCAGTCTTGATGGACTGTATGTTTCCAGAAATTTGTCCATCTCCTATAGGTTATCCATTTTGTTCCATATAGTTTTTTGTAATATTCTCGTATGATATTCTGTATTTCTGTGCTATTTGTTGTAACTTCTCCATTTTTCTTTCTTATTTTGCTTATTTGTGCTCTTTTTTCTTCTATGTTTGAAAATTTTAACCAGTTTCAACCACAATTGTGTACAGCCATTATCCATCTTCATTCTGTTGGACTTCCCCTAGAGGTGGGTGACGAAATGATGGAGGGAATTGTTTAATATTGCTAAGGCAAAGCTTATGTGGGAATATATTTAATTTGGTCTAAAAATTAGGATACATTTATGTGGTTTGGGTCAATAATGGATATAGTTTAATTACTGCTAGCTAACCTGGTATAGTAACAGCTTCCTGGGATTATTCTATTATTCACAATGCCTACCCATGTGTGTAATGGAATATACAAGTAATGAAAAGGAGTGCCTCAAATGAACAAATTGGAAATGGTTTTAAATTTCTTGTTGGTTTGACACCAAATATTGACATTGCAATGATAATACAAAACTCATAACAATAAGTCCTTCATTGGGGTTCTCAGAAATAGTCGAGCTTTATTGAATATAGTTCCCTGTGTTACACAGTAGAAACTTGCAGTTTATCTATTTTATTTATAGTAGTTAGTATCTGCAAATCTTGAACTCCCAATTTATGCCTTCCCACACACTTTCCCTCTGGTAACCATTAGTTTAATTTCTATGTCTGAGAGTCTGTTTCTGTTTTGTAAATAAGTTCATTTGGGTCTTTTTTTTTTTAAGATTCCACATATAAGTAATATCATATGATGTTTTTCTTTCTCTTTCTGACTTACTTTACTTAGAATGATGATCTCCAAGTCCATCCAGGTTGCTGTAAATGATATAATTTTATTCATTTTTATGGCTGAGTAGTATTCCATTGTGTGTATATACCACAACTTCTTTCTCTAGTCATCTGTCAGTGAACATTTAGGCTGTTTCCATGTCTTGGCTATTGTAAATAGTGCTGCTGTGAACATTGAAGTGCATGTATTTTTTCGAATTAGAGTTCCCTCTGGATATATGCTTAGGAGTGGGATTGCTGGATCTATTTTTTGAATATCACCTGTAAACTTCTGATCTTAATAAAATAGTTCAGTAGTTTTACCATTAAAAGCTCACTCCCTGTAGCATGTAAATTATACCTATTTAAAAATTCATGTTAAAATTACTATAAGAAAGATGTTGTACTAGAGGCCATGTATATGTCTGGTAATAAATTGCTTGCACACAAAAAGTCATGAGAAGAGAGAACAGAATATATAGATTGAAGCAAGGGAACAGAATATAAGCAAACATCCATCATAAGTCAGTATGTCTATGTTCAAGTGGAGAGGCCAGGCAGCTAAATTCTTTACAGAAGATACTGGTCATGTCTGGCTGAATGATCCAAATTAAAGAATGCAGAAATGATAAAGTGAGCACATATGAAGAGCAGAAGGGGAAGGCTCCCTTGCCCTGGATTAAAATAACCCTAAGACCTAGTTTCTGAGAAGACACCTCCTTTATGAGTTTGAGCCAGACCCTGATGGCTGACCTACCCTTATATGGCCTCCCTCCTTTCTGATTCTAAACTTTGATGGTGAAACAGCAACTAATGAAATGTGTGTGGCCAGAAGGGCCAGCTGGCTGACGGGGCAACCCCTGAGCTAATGAGGACCAGCAGGGGAAATTTATAACTCATGATAAATGGCCTTTGATACCGACCCAGCAGGATAAAACAATGAAGGGCTCAGGGCAACATCAACCATGTCTTTGAAGAACAACAGAAATATCAGTCTTGAGTAACATTTATATTAATTTATACAATGGAATTTGGGCTTCTGTAAAAGTCTAGTCCCTATCGCAAATAGCATTTGAGGAAGCCATTTAACCTTCTGGCCCTTCAGTCTCTTCCCTGTGAGGAAATGGACATAGTATTTCTTAATCCACAAGGTTGTAAAGGTTTAATAAAAGAATACATATAGTTTTTTCTTTGATACCTAGTAGGTATGCCTGATCCAAGTCAAATATACTTTTAGGGGCAGTTTAGGTTAGAGGTTACAGGCACACACTCTTGAGTCAGACTGCCTAAGAGTGAATCTCAGCTCTGTTGTTCACTGCTATGACCCAGGACAAGCTACTTAGCAGTTCTGTCACTCTTAGTAAATGTCTACACTGCTATGACTCAAGAAAAATCAGTCCCTTTTTCTTGAAAAAGATCTCTGTCAGACAGATTGCTGCAAATACTGGCTTGTTCTAGAGACCAGCACACACCCACTTGTACCATTGTCTTCACACCCCCTCCTCTGGTTCAGTTAATTTGCTAGAGTTGCTTAGAGAACTCGGGAAACCAATTTACCTACTAGATTTTCAGTTTGTTACAAAGGACATTAAAAGTTACAAAGGAACATCCAGATGAAAAGATACATACAGTGAGGTCCAGAAGTGTCCCAAATGCAAGCCCCATGGACTTCGGGGCTCAGCACATGGACATGTTCTGGTTCAACAGCTGGAAGCTCTGTGAACCCCTATTCTTTTGAGTTGTTATGGAGGTTTCATTACCTTCTGTATCCTTGCCCTAATTTTTTACTCAGAACTAGTATCCATCCCATCACCTCTATACAAAATAATTTGATGGCGATAATCTCTGTTCTACACAGTAGAGATAACCCTGGGGAACAACCTAGAACATAGTTCTGGCCCCTCTGAACATGCCATGACCCACTGACACCTATAAATTATAATTTAAAGAAATACTGATCTGTTTCAAGTTTTAAGCTTTATATATGATTTAACTACTGAAATTAGTTGGTTCAGAAAGAGAAACATAGAAGACTCACACCAGGTACTCCGAGGACAGTGTTAAGTGAGGCAATTTATACAGGATTGGGATGGTGGTAAGGAAACCACAAGATATTTTGGAGAATCCCAGAGCTTGCAATATAAAAGCCAAAAAAAGGTCTGAAATAAGGGAAGAGAGAAGTTACCAGAATGTGTGGAGAGAGAGGGCTGTCTCTTAGGACCTGTGAAATGTAGTGGGAGGATCAGCCACCAGCATTCCCCACAGGGAGGATCCTTAGAGATAAACACTCCTTATCCTCATTATCCCACCTCCACTGAAAACCCAGCAGAAACCAGTGGACAGGAAAAGGTGAGATGCAAACCACGTAGGTCAGCTTCCAGGGGCCTGGGCAGGACAGAGGAGAGTGGAGCACACAAAGGGAGGAACACATGGACAACATCCAGCCCAGCAAATATAAACTAATATTCATTTTTGCAAATAGGAGGAATCATTGCTCTAGTGAGATTACGATCCTTGATTAAGAATTTCAAAACATTGTTTCCTGTTTCAAGATTCAGAAACTGTGAATCTAGCCTATTAGGTCCTATACAGCAGCTCCTCTGAATCCATTGTTAATTCTACTGAAGATGACAACTTCATTCTTGGCTACCATTTTATTTGAATTTCCATTCATCTTGTATTTTCCTCAGAAAGAAATTTGAGTAAATAAAGAACTGATCTCAGATTTGAAAAGAGTTACAGCAAAGAAAATTTTTTCTGTTGGTATTTTCATCACTGAAGCCTTCTTATCCATGAAATAAGGTGCCTAATGATTTTCCATCCAAGGTGGAATAACTAAGAAAGAAAAATGACATAGAATTAAAAATTTAAACAGTTCTTCTCTGGTTATAACCATAGATGAAATTACTACCCTTACCTTCATAAACGAGTGAGTTTCCTTTCTTTAGCCCAATCTTGGACATCTGCTTCTCCAAATATAAGGTAGAAGATCAGTCCTAAAGCATTAATGGCAAATGACAAAGAGAAGGTATTTCTCCACCCTAATTCAGGGTCCTGGAGAGACAAAATTTCAAGTAAATATTACCCCTTTCATCCTTTTTTTCTGTGAAACTCTTATTATTTGTTTAGAAGACAATGTTCACTAGTGGGTTTTTGTGTAGAAATTTATTTTCTGAACACAGCTTAATAATTGGATAGAAAAAAGAACTTCGAAATGGATTCAGAGTATTCTCAATAAAATGGACTTAGAGACCTTTACAATTAACCTCCAGAATTGCATTTGTCACTATTTATCAAAGTACCATAAATTTTCTCCTTTGCACAAATCATGACAACATAAATATGCTACTAATATTTCTTCTTGCAATGCAAGAAGAATCTTGCAAGAAGATTGCAGGCTTTGGAGTTAGACAGGTCTAAATTATAAGAATTCTGATTCTACATCCTTTTAGTGGAAAGACATATTCTAATAGATATTAATTATCAGCAAATGAGGATAATGTTCCATTTTCATACCTGGTATGAGAATCAATAATTAAATGAGACTACTGCATATGAAATACCTATAATGACTACATGGATCAGACACTTAAACATATTCGCTTTCATTATCTCTTTGCTTTTGGATGGTTATTCAACTGAAAATTTCAAAGTGTTGCAGAAGACATAGCAAGTTGCCTCTATGCATGGATTCATCATTTTCTCACATGATATCTATGTGGCTGTGTGATTTCAAAGATTGGATATTACCAGTGGATCACTAGTCAGTGCTTTAGTTCCAGAATGAGTAAAGATCAATGTCATGAAAGAAATTCTTCTATATTTTTCTTTGCCAAGTTGACCTTCATGACAAAATAACCCATGATTTAATTTTATTATCCAAAATGTGGAAACATTTTTTATGCTAATACCTTTAGGAATGGACTCAGCAGAGGGTTTTAAGAGTCCTTGACAAGCAAACTTTACCTGACTGAGGAGAAATCCACTAACAGTGGGTGCCAGGATAGCGGCTATCTGTGCAAATCCCCTCGAGACTCCCATGAGAAAACTGGAATGCCTGTGGGTGACAGGAATATTCCAGGCTAGATCCACAGATACTTTGCAGTATCCTTTAGTCCTGCTCTGCGTATGAATCCATCATACAGGAATTATGTCAAAAAGGACCTGAGCTGTGTGTGTTCACTGAGAGACACTAAGACAAGTCAATAGTAGCCCTCCCCCTTCCACATACCTGAAAAAAATGGCCACAGGCTACCAGTGGTCCTTGCCCATGATTTATTATTTCACAAAATTTGGGGGCTCCTGGAAAGCTGCAGGCTAAATCTTTTTCAGAAAATGCGAAAAAGAGAGTGGAGGTTACTGTCCTACCTTGGAGCAAGATCTAAGGTGTTGATGTAGATCCCGGACTGACATAGTGGGCTTAGTCCACAGGCGAGCGTCAGAAGGCCCACTGTGATGATGTAACTGGAGGTGACGTAGGGCAGAATCACAAGGGCTGCTGAAGAGGGGAGAGTTCCTAGGGAATGAGGAATAGACAAATTAAACAAGATACATCTTTGGCTCCGGTATGCCTTGTGAATTATCAGACCCTTGGGCCCTGTTCTTACCTAGAACTGTGGCAATTTTCCTCACTGTTACAAGCCTGAAATTCTTGGTCAGAAGGAAATCTGCCAGTTGGCCTCCAAGGATACCAACAACCCAGGCGATGATAAAAGGAAGGGCAGACAGGAACCCACTCTGAGGGGGAAAAAATGAGTAAACCACCATAAATAAAGGCTGTGAGACCACACCTTGTATTGAAAAGTCACTAATAATCATACTGACAATTCTGAAATCATGCTTTCATAGGAGCATCAGTAGCCTCTTCCATCATACCCCCAGGAAAACTACTCCCATGACTGTTAGATGTTAGAGTGTTTCTTGGTTAAAAAAGATAAAATTTTCTAGATAGAATGATTTGTGAAGGCAGAGTAATTTCCTGCAAACAGGAAAAAGGGTTGGAGGGAAATGTACTCACATCTCTGATACTAATATTGAACACAGAGCTGATGTAAGTTGGTGTATATATAACCATTATGTTAATTAACCATTGATGGCTGAAACAGCAAAACCCCATGGACCAGAGGGGTAGAGATCTGACCACAGCTTTGATGGGAAGAGGCTGCCTCGAAGAGCTGACCTGAAAACAAATTTACTGATCAGAATAGTGAGATCGGAGACATGCTCACACATTTTCAGTCACCCTGATAAATCCAGATGCTGACACAGATCTCTGGAGAAGGTTGGAGTTTTTACGTGTACCTGTTGGGCCAAGGAGGACATGATGTATTCTTTTTCTGTAGTGTTTATCCATGGATGAGTGACAGGGTCATCATAAACCAAAACAAACCAGAGAAGGCAGAAGACACAGCCAACACCTCCTGTAAGCAGAGGGCAAAATTGGTAAACTTCTGTGTGAATTTCTTTTACATTGGGACATTGTCTTTTATGGGTCCTGGGAAAGGCTCTTGCTCATATCCCCTTTCCATTTCTCAGAAAAGTCACATGAATATCACAGCTTTCTAGAGTCCATTCCTTTACATTTCTTGATTATTTGTGTATGTGGAAATCACAGACCCTAGGAATGGCACTCAACTTGGTATCTCAACCTTTTTAATATTAGTAAAGGGAAACTATTTTTCTCCTTGCAACACTTCTGACACCAAATGTGTGGGTTTTTCACACTAAGAAATTCTCTAATTCCCTGTAGACACCAACCTGGTGTCCTACAATTTAGCTCAATTCTAACACTAACTATCTGACATTAGCACAGACCCTACAGAGTAAGGGCTCAGACACACAGACTGCCTCCTTACTTACTACAAAGAGATTCCCACTACTCCTCTCATTTTGATAATTCGCTGGCACAGCTCACAAAGCTCAGGGAAATATTTTTTTGTGCTTATTGGTTTATTATAAAGGACACAGATGAACAGCCAGATGAAGAGATACATAGGGTGAGGTCTGGAAGTGTCCTAAGTGCAGGAACTTCTGGCCCTGTGGAATTGGGGTGTGCTATCCTCCCAGCACGTGGTTGTGTTCACCAACCTGGGATCTCTCAGAACCCCATCCTTTAGGGATTTGTTATGGAGGCTACATCATCTAGGCATAATTGATTATTAACACAATCTGAAGCACCCTCTCCTCCTGGGAGGATGGAGTGTGGGGCTAAAAATTCCAAGCTTCTAATGGCTTGGTCTTTCTGGTGACCTCCATCCTGAAGCTATCCAGGGGGCCACCAAGAGTCACCTCATTAAACAAAAGATGGTGCTATAACTCAGGAAATTCCAAGGGATTGTGAACTCTGCTTGGATGCTCCTGTCATCCCCACCACTCAGGAAATTATAAGGGTTTTAGGACTTCTATGTCAGGAACTCATGGCAGAAATATGTATATATGTGTATGTGTGTGTGTGTGTGTGTGTGTAGATAATTCTTATTATGTCACAGTTAGCCATTTTAATAGGTATGCAGAGGTATTTTGTTGTTTCTATCTGCATTTCCCTAATGACTAAGGATGTTAAGTTGCCCACCTTTTTATGTTTATCTTCCCTCTCTATATATTCTTTAGTGAGGTGTCTTTGCCCATTTTTTAAATTGGGTTTTTGTTTTGTTATCGAGTTTTGAGAATTATTTACACATTCTGGATAAAAATCCTTATTATATATTCATTTTGCAAATATTTTCTCCCTGTCTCAACTTGTCTCTTTACTATCCTAATAATGCCTTTTGAAGAGCAAACGTTTTTAACTTCAATGAAATCCAATCTACCAATCTGTAGTTTTATGGATCAAGCCTTTGGTGTCATATCTAAGAAATCTTTGCCTAACTAAAGAACAAAGATTCTCTCATATGTTTTCTTCTAAAAGAATAATAATTCAGATCTTACAATTAGGTCCAAGTTTCATTTTGAGTTTCTGTATAGAATGCAAGATATGAATAAAAAAAAATTTCGCACACCATCTGTTAAAAAGACTACCCTTTCTCCATTGAATTGTTATGGCATCTTTGTCAAAAATCAGTTTACCTATGTGTGAGTCTATGTATAACTGTTTTGCTGATCTATTTGTCTATCTTTATGGCAATACCACAATGTCTAGATGACTATAATTTTATAATACACCTTGACATCAAGCAGTGTTAATCTTCTAACTTTGGAAAAGTGGCTATTCTAGGATCTTCTTATTATTATGAAAATTTAGTTTTCAGTGAGTAAGTCTTTCACATCTTTTGTCAGATTTAGTGCAGTTACATGTTTTTTAATACTATTGAAAATGGTACTGTTTGCTTTCATTTAAATTTCTGATTCTTTTAAACTTTATATGTCTAAAAATGTCCTTACTTGCCTTTGTTTTTGAAAATGTTTTTCTTTGGCTCTATAATTCTATGTTAACTTTTTTTTCTTTTTTCTTGCAGTATTTGAAGGATGTTGTTCCACTGCCTTCTTGCTTGCAATGCTTCTGATGGGAAAGCTGCAGTCATCATTATCTTTGCTCCTCTGTATATAATATGTTTTAACTTAGGCTGTTTTTAAGATTTTATCTTTATCACTGATTTTGAGCCATTCGATTATAGTATAACTTGGTATAGTTTTTTTCATGTTTCTCGTGTTTGAGATTCATTGATCTTTTTGGATCTGTGAGTTTGTAGTTTTCATCAAATTTGGAAAACCTTCAGCCATTATTTCTTCCAAGATTCCTTTCTGTTCTCCCATCCCACTCCTTTCCTTTGGGCACTAAACACCTTACTGATGTTCTCTTTTTACTATTATTTTTCTCTGTTTTTTTTCTGGATGATTTCTATTATTGCTTTTAAGTTCATTAATTTTTCTTTTGATGTACCAACTGTCATTAATTCAATCCTTATATTGTAGTTTTATCTCTAGAAGTTTGATTTAGGGTCTTTAAAAATATATATTTTGCACATCTCTACTTAACTTTTGAACAAACGAGAGTTAAGTTATAATATAGTTATAATAAGTATTCTTGTCTGCTGATTCTAACATTTGTGTCATTCTGGGTTGGTTTTGATTGATTGGTTATTCTTATTACTATGGATTGTGTTTTTCTGCCTTTGTCCATGTCTGGCAACCTTTGTTTGGAGCCAGACATGAAGTATACCTTCTTGGGTGCTGTATAGTTTTGTATTCCTATAAATACTTTTGAGCTTTGTTTTGGGATACAGTTAAATTACATGGAAACACTTTGTTCCTTTTAGGTCTGGCCATTATCATTTGTCAGAGGGATCCACAATACCGCTTCTCCTAGAGCTAATCATGTCTCACTACTGAGGAAAGGCATTAATGAATATTCTGCCCAGTAACTCAAGAATTATAAATTTTTCTAGTCTGTCTTGTGGGAATAGGCTCTACCCCTGATTCTCTATAAGTCCTGGACACTGTTCTTTAATCTTTTCCAATGACTTTCCCCACCTGGCCTCAGATGATGTCTTTACACACATACCCTGATCAGTGCTCTGCTGATCAAGGGGGAACTCTGCAGATAACCAGGGTTTTCTCTGTGTACAGTTGTCTCCTGTTAAGTATCCTTCCTTTGAACTCTACCTGCCTTACTCTTTCGGGGCTCTTAGCTCTGTCTCCTCAACTCTGTTTCTTCCATCTCTCACTAACTGCTGCTCTGCAAGTCTGTCCTCTACTCCCTGCTGAGGCAGCAGATTTTGCCCCATCACTTTGTGTTAATAATACACCATGGTAGGTTAACAGCATAATGGGCAGGAGGACTTCCAAATTCTGTGATGGTATAGATTAATTGTTCTCTACTATTATATTAAGACATTTTGTTTTTCTAGGATCCTTCTGTCTTGACTCATTTCCTCCAGAAAAGTACACACAAGTAGAAACTCAGAAGAATCTCCCTGAATATGAAAACATGGGAATGGGGACACAGCAGCTTACCAAAGACATAGAAGACAAAAGGCCACCCGAGGGTTTGACTGATGAGGCCGCCCAGGAGGATGGCAATGAAACTTCCCAGCAGAATTCCTGCAAAGAGAGAGTAAGCTGTGGACTGCCACGTGGTAGTACATATTACAGAGCAGTATCATCATCAAGAGATGGACATATTGGGAGATGTGAACTTCAAATTTATGACTGAGTTCAAATGTTCTCCTGAGGGCTCATTTTCCTGGCAGTTCCCTAGTAACATCACAGATGACAATCATGCTTCCTTTCATACTACTTTAATTTTTAATTACACAATTCATATAACATATGCTTATCATAAATTACCGCAAAGAACCAAAGTTCCCCTCACATGCCCCCACCCAGTCCATTCCCACCCTTCTCTCTAATGCTAACCATTAGCAGTAAGGTTTATATGATATATAATTGCACACCCTTTCACCTCTGCAGACATATATAACATATATCTGTACAAACATGTATCTCTTTGTAAATGCATTTATGTAATATGTAGACAGAAAACTAGATAGATTTGTCTATTAGATTTGTCTATTAATGTTCTAATAACAGTTGTCATTTCCATGGTTCTATAGAGTATTCTCATATATATGGGATGTGGGGCACATTTCCTTTTTACAACTTTTTCAAAACTGGGTTATTATGTTTTTTACTTTCCAGCTGAACATTAGTATCAACCAACCTGTCAAATTTTGCATATATGTATGTGAGTTTATTATTCATTTTAAATAAACAAGACCATAATATACCTTTTGTCCTGTGTCATTTACATTTTATTTAACAATTGGTCTTGTAAATATTTCCATGTCACTGTATATACTACCTATACATTGTTTTTTGTTGTTGTTATTTCTGACCATAAACTTATTTATCACTTCTGAATATAAACATAATTTTTGTCTGTACAATAAAATATCAGAAGTAGACTTGCCAAATCAATGACTATGCATTTTTTTTCTTTTTAAAACATTTTTATTTGAAGTGTAGTTGATTCACAATATTAGTTTCAGGTGTACAGCCAAGTGATTCAGTTATACATATACATACATATATATTTTCTTTTCAGATTCTTGCCCATTGTACATTATTACAAGAAATTGAATATAATTCCCTGTGCTATACATTAGGTCTTTGTTGTTTACCTATTTTATATACAGTAATGTGTAAATACTGTGCATTTTTTATTTTGACAGATACTGCCAAAGCATCCTGCTAAAAGGCCATACCAAATTAAACTGCCAACAAAGATTGCTTTTTCCTCATTTCTTCATAACACTGGACATCCTCAAAGCTTCTAAATACAGTTTTCTAAATATAAATGCAAAAGAGTATATCGTTATTTTCTTTCTATAGTAAAGTTGAATTTTTTTGTGTTTGTAATTTTTATTTCCTCTGTGAACTGTCTATAATCTTTTTGTTTGTTTCTTTCACTTGTTTAACTTTTCCTTAATTTATAGAACCTTTGTATATTTTGAATAATAATCCTCTATCTGGCATGCTGGCTGCAGTTCTATTCTCCCGCCCTTAACTTTTGGTGTATGGTGTGTTTTGTAATCCAGCAGTTGTAAGTTTTCATGCTGTCAGATCCATGAGTTTTTTCTGTAATAATTTCTAGATATATAGACTCCTTTGCCTAAAAGAGCTTTCCCAATCTACAGTTTAATAAGAAATAATTTATGTTTTCCTTCTTGTTTAACCATGGCCTTTATTGAAGCATCTTACCTGTGTTGTCTCATTTGAGTACCAGTATTTGAGTACCAAAAAAAATCCAAATTTACAATTGAGGAAATAGAAACATGGAAAAGTTAATGAGCCCAAGTTCACACAGCTAATAACAGGGAAAGGCATTTGAAATGAGGCTCCTTGACTCCAGGACACAAATCAGTGAAGACGGAAATCAGTACCTCTTTCCACCACTGAGACCACCAAATCTGCATCTGTTTCTCTGAACTCTGCCTTTACTCCAATTATAATGGGGGACAGGTTCCTGCATTCATCCAACATCAAGTCCCCTCTTGTCCTCTGGACCACATCTCTAGTATGAACTCTCACTTCTGCATCCTCCCTTATTTCCTCAACCCTGTGATCTTCCCCATTCACACGTAAATCTAGCTTCATATAGCCTATATTCAAAACAAAGCACAACACAACACAACAAAACAAAACTTCCCCCCTCTTCCAAACTCCGTCCACGCGTTTTGTCATTTCTTTGCTTATCTTCAGGACAAAACTTCTCAAACAGCCGTACTTACTGCTTCTACTTCCTTCCCTTCCATTCTTGCCTTAGCCAACTCCAAACACCCCCACCCCCTGCCATGGCTCTTCTCAAGGCCTTTAATGACCTCCAGCTTGTCAAACCCATGGCCACTTGTTCAGCCCTAGCAGGTGGTGTAGCTGACCTTCCATCTCTGATTGAATGTTGTCTAATGGCCTTGGAGGAAGCTTCTGCTGGCCTGTCCTCTGCTCTTGGAGGGCCGCAGGGCCATTTTCTTGGTTTTCCTCTCTTTTTCCTCAATGTTCTTTCTCTGGGTGTTCAGACCCATATACTGAGAAATTTCAGGATGTCTTGTTATCTTTCATATTCCTCCTGAATTCCAGACTACAGTATCTACTCAGATGCCTTGTAGTTCATAGCTAAACTTGATTTATGCACATTGTAAATCACTTAATCCTCAAACATGTCGATCTGTGTGTGTGAGAGCTGATACATATATGTATATGTATACCTAAAGCGTATGCTGTTTTCTTTTTAATTTTTTGAACTTTATAAAAATGATATCTTCCTGGATGTTCTCTTCTAAGATATTGTAATATGTGCTTGCTACATTATTTGGGAATATTTATTTCTGCTATAGAAGATGAATAAATTCATCTTATAAGACATAGGCAAATATCATAAGATATGTTAGGTATGAACAATGATTAAGTCATCAGCAATGAGACAAAGAGACAGGATTTATAAACTATGTTAAATAAAGGTAAGTAATTTACCAAGAATAACCCACTTCAAGTCATTAAATGCAGAGTTGGGAAAAGATGTGAACAATCAGATTTTGCCAGCTCCAGAATTTCACTGATTGAGTACCTCATATGCCCCTCGAATGTTCAGTCTCATATTTATAATTATTATCTAATATGACGTGTTTCTTGGTCTTTCTATCTTTTTCTATCTATATTCAAAGATAAACATGTTATTCTTGGTAAATTAAGTTCTTTAATTAAGTTCTAAGGACAGCTGAGAGTAATTCTAAAGAAGACTAAGTTGGATCCATACCTTACACTGAATACTAGTATAAACTCCAATATGTCAGAAATTTCAAAATAAAAAATGAAACCATTCCTATTCAATGAAAGCCATGGTTGGATGCTTTTATGACCTTTCCAACTATGACTCAAAAATCCAGAAGTCATAAAAGAAAAGAGTGATCAATTTGACTACATAAAATATGTATCTTTAAAAAATGGCAAAAATCATTATGAGCAAAGTCAACTCACAAATGACAAACTGAGGGGAAAAATGAAAGTCATGTCACAGACAAAGGGCCCATCTCCCTAATTTATAAATACTTGATCAACACTGAGCACAAGACAAAGAACCTCACAGTAAAGAAAATGCCAAAGAACTCGGTGAAGGATGTCGGATTGTGGTGCCCCCATTTCAGCCCCATGTTTTTACCTGATAAAGCAATGCTGCAGAGTCGGCTTCGTTCATGTGGTGGACTCCAACTTTCCCAGAGTGCAAACTGACCCCCCAATCCTGATCCCTGAAAGAAAAATAGAGTTTTTGATATGTGGTCCCATATAGAAAGTCATACCCAGCTCATATTTATAAACTATCTGGGTACCTGGCTCAGGCCCTGAAGTATTCGAGTTGCAATGAGGAAAGTGAGTCCAAGATCAGTTGCCAGAGGCGTGAAGAGAATCAGAAGTGAGGATCCAAGCAAGGAAACACCAACCACTCGCTTTGTTCCTACTCTTCCGGCCAGGTATCCACTGGGAGCCACGGTCAGGATCATGCCGTAACTGATGGCACTAAAGATGATGCCCTGAATGTGAGGGCTCCAGTTGTACACAGGGGCCTTAAAGAAATAGAGAATGCTTTGGAAAGCCATTTACAGGAAGGCTCATTTATAACTTAAGAAGTCTCTTTAGATATTTCGCTTGCTTTCAAATCACTATTTCCTCAGTTAAAACTTTTCAACATATACACTCGAGAAAAATAAACATCTAAACAAACAACAAATGGCAAAAACAAGAACACAACTTAAACCTTGAATTGCTTACCCATGCAGGAGGACTCTTTGGGGAATTTTGGGGATCACCAGATGAATCAAAAAGCAGCCCCTCAGTGGAGCCATTAAACTGGGACTGATGGCTTGTGCTGTTGACCATGGCTACCATGGTGATGTTCATGATAATACCTTGTGCCGCTATAACGAAATTGCAGAGGTGTACGATGAAGGCTATTCCATAGCGAGTGGAACATAAGGTTGGAACTGGAAATATTATGACATTGTATTAGTGCCTACCTTATTGAACCGTCACTTACTTTTTGCAAGTTATAATACTGAGAGGTACCACCTGATGATTTAAATGGCACTTCTGTTGGGTTTGGGAACAAAAGATCACAAAAGGTGGAAATCACTGAGTTGAATCAAAGAGTGTTTTATACCACAGCTTTATAGACCCTGACTTGCTCTGTTCTTGCAATTTTGTCTCTTCCAATCCTAGGTTATTACATTCTATTGTTGATGAAATTTCTTAGATTTACATGAAGATATAGAGATACAGAACATCTATATTAAGAGTAAATATATACATATAAGTAAAAATATGTATACATGTACATTTTTTAAATTACATAGTTTATATCATATGTACTATATTATACATACATATATAATATAAATTTTAAACATTAAAGGAGTAGATTCACTACTCTTCTCGTATGTCTTTAGTCATTGAGAGTAAACTTTCACTTAAATTTTCAAATTAAACCTCTATAAAGATTCTCATTAGACAAAAACTGAGACCCACAGACTATGGAGAAATACAGTGAAAAAATAGCAGAAAAAGAAATGAGCACAAAATTAAAATAATATGTTTTTGTACTTCCAGGAGTGATAGTTATTGCCGGGAAAAAAATATTGCAATAATCCAGAAGAGAGGTGAAGAATCTTGGACTATGGTGGTAGCAGAACGTAAAAGAATGAAAATGTGATAAGATCCCAGACAGATCTCAGTATGGGAGTGACTAAATCTTGATTTCATTTTTACAGATGGTAGGGGAGTAGCATTGAAGGCTTCCTTGTTCTAAACAACTAGAAGAATGGATCTGCTGTTTGCTGAGGGAGTTCCGTGGAAAAGAGCAGGTTTGGGGGCAGTGGAGAGATAAAGAGCTTAGTACTGGACAGTTAAGACAAAAATGCCTTTTAAACAGCCAAGAGAAGATGCTGAGAATGTTGTTGGATATACAGACACCTCTAGAGTTTAGAAGAGAAGTAGAAGTTGAGGTATAACATTGGGAGTTAATAACCCACAGATGATGCTCGAAACCATGATATTTGGGAAATGAGAATAAATAGAGAATTAACAGCTGTTTACTACCCTGCTTCCCATCTCCTGTTCACTGGAGACCTGGGATGGAGGACTGCCCTTCCCCTGGCTCATTGCATGATACCCCTCTAATCCTCCCCTCTTTTCTGGGAGCCTGTAAGTAACAAATCTTGTGACTTTACTTCCTTTGTGTGAGTGTATTGGAAGTGTGCCTTCAGTCAAAATGACTCTGGAGTTTTCATGTCCTCAGAGTGGGAACTTGGATGCTGAGGCAGCTACATGCCGATCCCCTGTAGGTGGCTTGTGCCTCTCTTTCGGCAGGTCATAATCTGCTTATTCACAATTTAATAACTAGCCACGGGTCCCCCAACACAGTGGGTTCTTCCTCAGTCTAGACTCCAGATGAGAATGCAACCTGGCCAACTTCTCAACTTCAGCCTTGTGAAACGCAGGGAAGAAGAACCAGCTAAGCCAAGCCATTCCTGGAACTCTGACCCACAGAGACTATGACATAATAAATGTGTGTTATTTTAGGCCACTAAGTTTGTGGTAATATGTCTGCAGGAATAGAAAATGAATATAGTTAGCTAAAAATAATAAGGATCAGTTAAATGTATTAAGACTACAAGAATTTTTTTCAGAGGGAAGGGCAAGCATTGAGAGATATTTGCTTTACAAAGCATTGAAATCAGTCATGAGGGTAAAATGGTAAGACATCATTGTATTGAAAAAAGAATAAGCAAAAAAAATTCAAGGAACAATAGAAAAACACCCACAAAAATCATACAGTGAGTAAAGGATGTTGTGGCTGAAAAGGAAGTTAAAATTATATAATAAGTGGTGTTGAGGTAAGGAGTTAAAATATATGAAAAATAATGTTGGAGTTGTATGTCATGTTTTAAATCAAAATAAAGTCAACACATAATAAAATACTACAGCATTTTGTCAAATTGAGGTTGTCATTGATTTAGGATGCATCATTTTTTGCTCCACTAAAAAGCAATTGATCAACTAATCAGCAAATCAAACTTAATAGATCTAAAACTAAACTTTTAGGTTCCCTCTCCAAGTCTTGCTCCACCCACATTCCTTCCCAACTCAGCTGATATAAA